TTCAGCCGTTTAGGCTACAAACTCTAACAAACATCCATCCATTTTCTTCATAAACTTTCGCATTTATAATATTTGTATGATGTTACTCACAGTTAAATTATCTTTCTAACAGTGAAAGAATTTTTAAAATTGGCCCAGTAGTTATTTCAATACATACAAGAATACAAATCTTTCCTCTTTATATTTGTATGGATTAGTAACAAGCCTGGTAAAACGAGAGCGGTCAATACATGAGCAAGGACGTTTATAAATAGGCATATTAGCATAGTACATATGTGTAGGATACTTTGCTGAAGTGGATTCGGTTTGTCACATTATTCTTAATGACTTTGTTTTATTTGTTGATGCATGATACGGACTAAGTACATAAGATAAAGGTTGTTGTACACTACAGTTTATTATATTGGGATTGTTCTTCCGTCAAATATAAAGACGGAATGGTTATTCCTTCCTATCCTTTTCTTTTAAGAAAAGGGTGGAAAGGGAAAGGGACTAAAATTAGGCCTCCGGCACCACACTATTCGGACGAAACGTGGAATTGCTTCCACTTCACGCCTGTTTTCTGTGTGTTAGTGGTATTACACCGGGCGAGCCGGCTCATTCGTGCTAAGATGTTAAAGCGGGCTCTACCTCTGTTATCCTCCTATTATATCCTATCTCTCCTATTTATATGTTTTGTAATTATACATCCAAAACGACATGAAATCATTATGATTTGTTGTATAAAGATTGTCGACATCTGTAAATGTTATTCAATCAATTAACAGAGTTAGGTCAAACCGGATAAAAGCGGCAGTGGCAATCTGCTAAAGGTAGACCACAATAGACTTTATTATAAATGTATGCCTTTGAAACATTAAATAGCAACGATTTCATTCTTCTTTTTTATTAAAACACAAAGAATAGTTAATGAAAGAAAGCATTTTTTGTACGCTAAGTTAAAACACTTTCTCTACAGTTGTCTCGGGATCTACTATGTTTAAGATTTTCCTTCACTCAATTATAATATTAAGAAATTGAGTGGACTTCTCGTAATCCTAAGATCATCTGGCAGACTTCCAATAGGTTACTGTATAACTTAGAGTTATTCAAAAATTACGACAGAGAGATTTTTTCATACTAAATCAATACTAAAGGATTCATTATTATATTAATTTAGGATCTCGCACAAGTTCGGGATAGACGTCTATCACGCTTGTTACTGTTAGCAAATGCAACTAAGCAAGTTCTCATCCTTGTTTTGCATTCGCAGATGCGCCGGCGGGTGAGCGGGAGCAGCTGTTCGTGCAGAAGCTGCGGCAATGCTGCCTGCTGTTCGACTTCGCGGACGAGCCGCTGTCGGACCTTAAATGGAAGGAGGTGAAGCGAGCCGCGCTGCTTGAGATGGTCGAGTACGTCACCTCGCAGCGCGGCGTCGTCACCGAGGCTATATACCCAGAAGCAGTCAATATGGTAAGAAGATCCTAAGATATTCCATAACTATTTCTCTCCAATTCAATAGAATTTAATTGTAATGTAGTCATTTTACCTAATAAATGTTGTTTTCAGTTTGCAATCAACTTATTCCGTACATTACCGCCGTCGTCAAACCCGAACGGTGCGGAGTTTGACCCGGAGGAGGACGAGCCGACGCTGGAGGCGGCCTGGCCCCACCTGCAGCTTGTCTACGAGCTCTTCTTGCGGCTGCTGGAGTCGCCAGACTTCCAGCCTAATGTCGCCAAGAAATATATTGACCAGAAGTTTGTGCTACAGGTATTTTACCGTCGAGACCAGCATTTCGGTTTTCTACTACTCGTATTCAAAATAATTTTGTTTGATTCTCTAAATTGTTTAGCAAAGAACAATAATAATAACATTAAATTGTCACTTTTTAAAGTAGATATTGTATGCCTCAATAATCTTATAAAATTGATTATTTTTTCTAAACTGTTACCTTGATTATATTACTAGACTTATTAAATATTCATTCAAAGCATTTATCCTTACGGGAACATCTCGGTACAGTCTTCGCTAGAAAATTAGCTCTGTAGGGTAGTATAGATAATAGTGTCGGCCCATTTCCGATCCATTGTAATGCAGTGCCAAGTGCACGCGTGGGATTTGACGTCAGACAAAGAGAGGAATTTTGTTTACATTCATAACATGATGTATAAAAATCATAATTACACTCGTAACTCAAAAACTACTCGACCTATTGAAAAAAAATCTTTCACCGTTAAAAAGATACGTAAGCAGTTAGTAACATGGGCTATGATTTTTTTTTATTTTTACGCGGGCGTTGTCGCAAGCCAAAACTATTTTATATAATGTTATTTTTATGATATTCTCCCTATGTAGTTACTGGACTTGTTCGACACGGAGGACCCGCGAGAACGCGACTTCCTGAAGACCACGCTGCACAGGATATACGGAAAGTTTCTGGTGTTGCGCGCCTACATAAGGAAACAGATTAATAATGTATTTTATAGGTAAGTAATTATATCGATATTTCATTCATATTGATGTGACCATCTTTTGCAAGTTGCTTCTGATAGAGCATTATCACCATATGACTCGACAAGTATTCGATGCGACTCTGCAGCATTTGTCTTCAAATGAAAACAAAAAAATAATGATTTCTGCAAATCAACACTCCCGGTACAAAATTCGACATTTTAACATGATGGAAAAATATGATGTAGTCTGTTCAATGTCTCGATGTAGACTAAATATGGTTCACAGATAGCAAACAAAAAAAAGTAAAGGCTTGTTCAAAACAAATGTTCCCTATCGAGATATTTGTACCTTGACGCTCACTTTATACCGGTATACCTGTGTTTCTCACTGATGACGTAGTTTTTTGATGATAATAAATAAATAAATAAATTCATTTATTTAACAATAAACTTTTTACAAAGAATAAACCCATGGTCCTCGCACTAGGCACAGCCTAATTGTGAGAGAGTTTGAAATCTGCCCATTATTTATCGAGTTATTTCAATACATACAAAAATACAAATCTTTCCTCTTTATCATATTAGTATAAATAAGAAAATACAAGCAGCATCGATAGTCCCCGTGGTGACCTCCACACGACCTCGTCTCATATGTTTTATAAACATTGGTCTATTTTTATAATTATTCGCAAACAACTCAGGATAATGTTTAAATAGGACAATAGAGTGGAAATTGTATGTCGATGAAATCACTGATTATATCTATTTTTATTATTATGTCACCGGAAAAACGTATATGCTTGTTTGTAATTCGCCAAGGCGTAGGTCAAATTGTATATATAATCATATATTTCGTTATAAAAGTGACTAGCTTTCGCCCGCGACTCCGTCCGCTTGGAATAATAAACCAAAAGCATGTGTTCTTCCAGACTATGTCTACGTCTATGTCTAATTTTATCGAGATCCCTTCAGCCGTTCACGTTACAAACTCTAACAAAGATCCATCCATCTAAACTTTCACATTTATATTATTAGTATGTATAGGGTGGTAAAAATTCAAATCGAGATGTTTCGAAATTTGTTTCGTAACATTTGTATGGATATTCTCAGGTTTATCTACGAGACGGAACACCACAACGGCATCGCGGAGCTGCTGGAGATCCTCGGCTCCATCATCAACGGCTTCGCGCTGCCGCTCAAGGAGGAGCACAAACTCTTCTTACTCAGGGTCAGTTGTTTACGCATTACTTTAAATTTACGCTCAGGGTAGGCAGAGATTATGAATCGTATTTCGTTTTCATCTCATTACTTCGATGGATTCTACGTAGAATATCGTTGTCAACATTAGGATATATACTTTGTTGCATATTTATTTATTGACTCAATAAATATTAATTTCTGTGTGAATTTGAAAGGAACATTAGAAAGAACTGTTAATTTTAGTTGTCTAGCTGTTCATGTTAAAGTATCTTAATTAATGTTAAAGGTTTGCTTTCAAAATCTGCGTTTAAAACATAGGGTAGTTTACGTAGGATCCATGGGCTTCTTATAAGTTCCTCATTAATGTATAACTTTCGACCACGGCTCAGTCCGCGTGGAATTTAAAAAAAAAACACAAGTATGTGGCCTATATGTTTCTCTAGACTATGCTCTACATCTGTGCCAAATTTCATCGAGATTTATTAAGCTATTAAGGCTACAAACTCTAATAAACATCCATCCATATAAACTTTCGCATTTATAATATTAGTAAGATTTGGCCAAAATTTTAATTACTTGAAATAAGAAATAGTATATATTTAATAGTATATACTAAATAAATACTAAGTAAATAGTATATACTAGTCATTTACACAGTTTTTAGCCATACTATTTATTTTATTTTATCTTGTTATTTTAATGTGGTTTTAACTTTTTTTGTTAATCTAATTGTAAACTTAATTTTAATCTTATAGTAGTAATATTATCTAGTCATTAAATTCTATTTATTTTAGCATTATTAGTCTATTAGCTAAGCAGAAACTCTAAAAAGGCAAACAACTGTGATAGTATTATTATTGAAATTGTAAAGTAGTATTAAGAAACTTGTAAGATTTTGACAAAAAACTTAAAATAGAGAGTTACACCTGCAACCAACATACCCTTTTCCATAAACATGTTAGGGGGAACGAGAGAGCGGTATGGCGCCGCCTATAAAAAATATTAGTATGATATATAGTTAGAAACGTTTGTTTGTATGTCAGGTGCTGCTGCCGCTGCACAAGGCGAAGTCGCTGTCGGTGTACCACCCGCAGCTGGCCTACTGCGTCGTGCAGTTCCTGGAGAAGGACCCCTCGCTCACGCAGCCCGTCGTCAGGTAACACGCCTCGGGGGTAGCCAGGGGTACTGAAGTCTCATTGTTAGTGTTGCTTCTTCTGTGTTTGTATGTACAATCGAGGATTCCCATTCCTACTGGATGAAATGAATTTGATCGAAATGTCGAAAACTAGCTATTACAATATTTATATGTGTTACATTAAAGATGCTGGTTATGACCAGCATGCTGTCTTAATGTTCTAATTCTAGTGCTCAATATAAACTGGATTACAACTGGCATAATGTAAACTCCAGTGAGCCCATATAGCCTTTGCCAGACCTGCCTAAGTGGGAACCGAATTTAATTCTTTGATTGCAAAGATGGCATTAACATTAGTAATATTCTATTTTTCTGTGTGAAATGTTAGCTGTTGCTTGCAACTTCGCACGTGTAAGATTTTAAAAAAATAACATAGCCTAAGTTACTCACTGATAACGTCGCATTTTTAATAGTGAAAGAATTTTTGAAACCGGCCCAGTAGTTTTTGAGTTATTTCAATAAATACAAAAATATAAACATGTCCTCTTTATAATATTAGTATAAGTAAACTGTTTTATTACAGGGCGTTATTAAAATACTGGCCGAAGACTCACTCGCCGAAGGAGGTGATGTTCCTGAACGAGATGGAGGAGATCCTCGACGTGATAGAACCTGCGGAGTTCCAGAAGATCATGGACCCGCTGTTCCGGCAGCTCGCCAAGTGCGTCTCCAGCCCACACTTTCAGGTACGACTCATTTATTCATATAACAAAATATACAATAACTTCATGTACATACACTTCAATAATTAAAAATATATGATAATTTTTGTTAATATTCCTGATATAAGCGAAAAAAATAAATCTCTACAAGCACTGTTTACTTTTCTGAAGGAATTACGAGTGTACGGGTATACCCAATTTACAAATCTATTCGTTTCGAATCGAATAAGTTCAAGAATTTAAATATTCAAAAATCCACAAATAAGTTAAAACAAATTCGAATTGCATTATTCTAAAATACTCCAGTATTATGTCAAAGCTTGCGTTTGACATTTAATATTGTTAATACTCGATTAAATTTCAATAATATTCTCATACCCCAAAAACTAACTAAATCACCAAGTTTAATAATCCAAAAAATGTCGATCGAATAACAGTTACTTTATCTATAGTCAATTTGACACACCCTGTATTTTGCCTTTACGTCACTCTCACAATTCAGACACACCCTGTATTTTGAATGTTAACAGCAGTCCCACAATTCAGACACACCCTGTTTTTTGAGTTTAGCATCATTCCCACAGACACACTGTATTTTGAGATTAACATGACTCCTACAATTTAAAGACACCCTGTACTGCAGGTGGCGGAACGCGCGCTGTACTACTGGAACAACGAGTACATAATGTCGCTGATATCGGACAACGCGACACACATCCTGCCCATCATGTTCCCCTCGCTGTACCGCAACACCAAGAGCCACTGGAACAAGACCATACACGGCCTCGTCTACAACGCGCTCAAGCTCTTCATGGAGATGAACCAGAAACTCTTCGACGAGTGCACGCAGCATTACAAACAAGAGAAACAAAGGTAACGTAATAAAGTAACTTGCTTGTATAATCTTTATTAGAAGACTACTTATGGTTTGTTGCAACATACTAAGGGTTTTTGTTAGTGACCGAACAGACTTTCGGTTTAACATAGCCGAAACTTTTAGCTCCGCCGAAACTAGTGTTTGTGAATTTTCGTGCGTTGCCATGGATAATTTTTATTAGAAAATAAGTTTATTTTCACGAAAATCAAAATAACTTCATGTGAAATATAAATGACAAAGCTTCGACGATTAAGAATCTTGGTTATGCGAAAAAATTGTTTAAAAGTACACTAAACTTCAACATATAATCGCAATTTAAAATGTGTTTGCGGAAATTTCTGTTTCTGTTTTATCGAAACAGAAAGCAAGTTCGGTTTCTGTTTCGGTTTTGACTGAAAAACAAATTTAATATTATTGCATTGTATTTGTAGAGAAAGGGAGCGTTTATTGTACCGCGAGGAGCTGTGGCTGCGGATAGAGGCGTGCGCGGCCGCCGCCAACCAGGGCGCAGCGCCTGCGCACGCCCCGCCCCCATCACACATCGCCCCGCCCCCACCACACAACGCCCCGCCCCCCGCACACCTCGCCAACAACGCAGACAACGCGCGTCGCCTCGACCGCGAACACACTGAGGTAAACAAGCAACACTTTAACTACTTTTAAAGAATAACATTAATTTCTTGCTCAATGGGACAATTTCGCAAATATGTATGTAAATATAACTGAGGTGTCATTAGATTCTTCCTCCCGAAGTGTCATTTCATCAATAGCATGTAAAAATATTGATAAAACGCCCTTAATCCCTCGTCACAAATTTATTCATTGTTAAGTCTTTTTTTTCGATGTTTTTGATTGAAATTTCGTCAGTCGGAATTTTGAATGTTAAGTGAAGTTCCCGCTTCATAGTTTAGTTTTTATTGAAGAGTCGAGCTGTACTTGTGTACTAAAGTATTAACTCTAATAATCAAATTATATTAAAAGTTCAAGTGAACACATGTTATTATTGTCATTTAAGTGTTATAAAAATATTGATTTCAGACGAGAAAGCCGGTGTACAACAACAGCAGTAAGCCGTTAATTCGCAAGAAGTCAGAGTTACCAGCGGACAGTGCCACTGTGCACGCCCTCGCTGAGCACAAGCGTGCAGATGCATTCCTCCCCACGCCGCCGGACCCTGACAGATGCTAACACGTCCACACCATACAACACCCCGACACCAGCCCCAGACACGCCCCAACACACCCCAACCACGCCCCTTCACTGTCTACCCTATAACAAACAACTTACGGTTTTGCCCTCACGCTGATACGATATTGAAAAAAGAGTTTTATACACGTAATAACGGTTCAAAAGAGATCATTATTTTGGGCACAGTATTCAAAATTTGATATTATTAAAAGATTTTCTCTGAAAACTGCAATATGAAGAAAGTTATCTGTTATATTGCAGTTTTATATATATTTAAATATGGCGGTTAATTTCAAATAAGACTTTTTCTGTTAAATAAGTTTGTCAAAAACTTGTCAAAAATGTTGTTTGTATTTTTTGTTCAATTTTCAATTTCAATTTTAATTCAGTTTCGAAATTTTAGAATTACAATTACAATCTAGATATTATAAAGAAAACATCGATATGTTCAATTTACTTAACAATTACTTCCATACAAAAATAATGATCTCTTTTGTCCGAAGTTTCTAGAACGAGCGTTTCTCAAAATTGTTCAATGATGCTTCTAGATAGAAATAGTTGAGGGCAAGCGATTATCAACTTTATACCCATTGTAATACGATAAATTATTGATAATCGAAATTTCGACATGTTGAATATTGAAGTATTTAATACGAGTGCCAGTAATTGCAAGTGATTCTCGCTCACGTATATGATGAATATATTTGTTAAATTTGTACTTATTTATACTACATATGTGTGCATGTTTGAATTTAAAATATGAAAATCTCCCGAAATACACAATACAATAATTTTAATGTAATAAACATTAAATTTATTAATAACTGGCAACCCACCGTGACCATAAACTAAAAAATCTACTAAATTTATATTTTGATTCCTATAGTTTTTGATTTTGTTAATAATATTTTATTCTTCAATATAAACCAGTCTTTTTACCTTTTATCTCAATAATTTAAATATTAATTACGCTCACTAACGCCTTCATTTTATATAATTTTGTAGGTTATATTTCTGATAATATCCTCTCATAGCTTTCGTGTTACTAAAGAAATTTGCTCGGAAAGTGTGAAATTTAACAAAGAGAGTCTCTTTTTAAAAGTTCCTTTATTAATTAAAGTAAATTAAAATGAGCTTAACATATGTTGTATGAATTTCGTTAGTTTATAATATATTTATAGTACGATTTATTCTGGCTCGGTGAAAACTAAAGTCCTCTTTTGTATCATCATCACCAGCTCACCATACGTCCCCACTAAGGGTCTCGGAGCCTACCCTAATGGGGTGACTAGGCCATAGTCAACCACGCTGCACTGCGGGTTGGTTGACTTCACACATATCTTTGAATTTCTTGGCCGATATGTGCAGGCATCACGATGTTTTCCTTCACCGTAAGAACGTCGGCTAAATTATGTACATGAAAATTCGAAAAAATCGAAAATCACATTGGTACAGCGGGATTCGAACCCAAGACCTGTAGATTACAAGTCAAGTGTTCAAACCACTGAGCCACCGACGCTCTTGTATGTTTAGTATATTTTCTAACAATTTCATATTCACCGGGTCAAATTAAATCGAACTATATGATGATTATAAACCTACGTAGTTCATAGTTAATCAGCCTTACAAATAAACGCGGTATAAAGTTAAACTTAGGAATAAACTGAGTATAGGCAAAATTTGTACTAATATTTGCTTATACTCAGTTAAAATTTTGCCTATACTCAGAATAAACTGAGTATAGGCAAAAATTTGTACTAATATTTGCTTATGCTCAGTTAAAATTTTGCCTATACTCAGAATAAACTGAGTATAGGCAAAATTTGTACTAATATTTGCTTATACTCAGTTAAAATTTTGCCTATACTCAGAATAAACTGAGTATAGGCAAAATTTGTACATATATTTGCTTATACTCAGTTAAAATTTTGCCTATACTCAGAATAAACTGAGTATAGGCAAAATTTGTACATATATTTGCTTATATTTAGTTTATTCCTAAGTTTAACTTTATACTGCGTTTATTTGTAAGAATAAAGTACGCCACGTTGCAAGCACATCTTTGACTAAACTATCGCACGACTGTTGTGCGATAGGCGATTGTTTCGCAATTCAAATGTTTATTTGCACAAATAAAAATTAAATAGCCCACCTCCATATAAGCTTATATGAATCAAAGCGCGATCAAACAGTTGTGCGATAGTTTAGTCAAATGTGTACGCGCGCTGTTATATAGTGCAGGGGTGAACAAATGCACACGACACAATCTTTGGGCTAAGTATGAAAATTTGAAAACTAAAATATATGAAGTCAGTACTCGGATTTGTTGACACAAAAGTCAATTTTGAGTGTTGGCAATAACGTCCATATTTGTTCATCAATATTGGAAATCTTGAAATATTGTTAACTAAAAATAACTATCAAAATCTATTAATTTGTATAAAGTCTGGCAGTAGGATTCCACTGGAAATAAATTATTATAAAAATCTATTATTATCTCTGTGTTTTTCTAAAGAGAGACAGGGATGGGAATAATTTGTCCGAGTGTATCAGCAATGAAAACCGACGTTTAGATTTGTCCATTCCATTGTAATTACCCATCACTTATGTATATTCATTCTATAAAATTAATGTATTTACAACTCGTGTACAATAACTTAAAACCCGAGTTGTGACGTCATCAAAGTCCGTTGTAGAATTGCTCTTGTAAATGTTATTGTGCTCGAGTTGTAATTTTAGTGAAACTTCAGCGGCCATGTTTGACGCTTAAACGCTAATTAAGTATGAATGTTTCTTATATTATTTCACTGACACCGTATTAAATTGTGGTTGCAAAATCATATGTACTTAGATCGCTCAGTATTTTTTTTAATACAGCATTTTCGCGATATATTTGAAGTAGGATATCATATAATTTTGACTGAACTAGGTTTTATTACAAAAATATGAAATTTAAAGCATAAGGCTGGGAATGCACGTACCAGTAAAAAATAGCTTGCCTCAAACACTCCCTTAATATGTATGTCCATAGATGTCACAAATACCATGCTAGCTACTTGCATGCTTAGCTGGCTCATGCAAGTAGCTTGCATGCAATTATATCACTGTTATATGTATTCCCGCCTTAACTCAGCCATAAATAAAAAATAAAATACATTTTATACATCCTCTAGACTAGAATAAAAAGGGGAAACTGCATAAAAATGAAATGTTACAATTAATTTATTATCACGATAGGCTTTTCTGTGTCTGTTTTATTATGTACAGTGTGCCAAAAGTAAATGGGCATCGTCTTGTGACCTATATGTCGTGTGAACACGTAAGACTGTATGTATGAATCTGTATGAAGTGCGTGTGCGCATTTAATTTTATTTAATTGTTTTTTATTTTGTTTATTTTATTTATTATTAAATATTGTTCCCAGTCACTGTCTATGTATATAATTAGAATCGTTGTAATATTTTTATACTTCTATTGGCTTTGACGCTTCCAGAAACTTTTCTCGACCTCTGTGTCTGGGAGCGAGCACTTTGTCTACGTAAATTAGAATTTTAAAATGAAGACAAGTGACTGTATTAGACTGTTATAAATCTAATGTGTGGTGAACATTTTTTCGTGTAATATCGAGACATTGTGAGGATAAGTTTTAACACTTTCATTGCCACCGGTTTGCCATCTCTTTAGATGTGAAAATATATGGCATTGAAAGTGTTAACGGCGTAGCGGAATACATTTTTTACTAGCCTTATATCCTTAATCTAGTCTTAATTTTGTATTAAAAATGTCTTTGACACTCTATCAGCAAGATTCCGCTATATTAAGTGGTTATAGTAATAAATTTAATCGGTTTTTTATTATAATGACTTGCACTCACTAATAGCCACTAATGGTTTAAGAGAAGTCTACGCTAAGCCTCCTTAAGTGACCATTAAAGGACTTGGTTACTACGTTATAATTCCGCTTCGTCTGAGACTATCCGCTCAATGTATCGGCAGTCGGAGTCGGCCGAGTGACTGCGGAAGGTTCGCGGTTAAAAAATTGGATAAATTTTGTATAAATATTTATAACGATGTAATGTAACTGTTGAAATCAAAGTATTGTAACAGATGACATATTATAAGGTGCTTATGGTTATCGTTAAAATACAAATTTGTGCATATGTTTGTGTTTTATTGTGAAATTCGCCCAGCATGAAACCCTAAACCTAAAACCCTGATTTTGTAATTGCAGAGTAAATTGACATACAAATCTCAAATTTCAAAATATTGTCAACTTTTTCAGTACTGTACCTGTCATACCGGTTTTTTAAACTTTCACACTTAGAATAATGTTAAAATGAGCAAAAAACCCTTCAGTTTTAATTAGTTTAGTTATAAATACTTAAATGTCATGAACCTTTGACAAGTTTTTTTTAATACATAACTAGCTACTAACAAAAACTTTATTATGCACCTGTATTTGGTCACATGCTCAATTTGAATGTTCATTTTTAAAGGAGTACCAATTTTGGATGTTAACTTATTAAGTATACGAAAATAATATTAATTTTATTAACGTTTTTCCTTTATTAGCACATCTGGCCACAACTATTTAAGAAGTTCAAAAAATCTGGCAACACTCGAAATATTTTACATGCTGGGATTAAAAATTGGGTTTATGTTAGTTACCCTTAACTTAGCCTCTGAGAATACAGAAATATACGAACTAAACAAATGGTGAAATAATACACAAATTTAGATGTTTAAAATAATTTATACATACGTACAGTTTTATACAAACATTTTACAATTACATAGATTTTAGTCACACGATTGATAGATATTTTCACTGTGTTTCCACCACCGAAACAATTACAGAAACATGTTCTTAAAAGATGGCAAAATGATTATCTATATGTGCTTCAGCAGTGGATATTCCTTTACACGTATGAAATAATTATTAAACAAGTATTGCTGAGATATACAATTATCAAAAGATTTTACACAGCACGAGTTAATATTGCTTTTGTACTGAACGTTAAGATGAATTTAGTTTTCATTTTACGTATTATAAATTTTTAATACTTGAAACTAGATTTGTATAAGAATAAAACTCAAATGTAAGCTGTTTCAACTATTACCAATACAAATATAAATATTTCGGGAAAATTAAACTTTTGAGTACTTCGGTATTACAAAAAATTTAAATAATCTTGAATCTTTTTTGATAACATACCGAAAGCACAATAAAATGAAATAAGGGGACACAATATTTAAGGTAAAAGTATCGAATTTTAGTACTAACTGGATTTAATTCCTAATGAGAAGCATTTTATTTGCTAATATAAAAGATATGAAAACATTATAAATAGATCACTAGCCGCTTTAAAAATAATACAAATAAATGGATTAGGCCTTAAATTATTCCCTTAAAAAATAAAATGGGATCTAGAAATAAAAATAACAAATTTTATTGTATAATTGCCTATGAGCTATTATGATTGGTACAAATTATGTTAGAAAATCTAATTTTAAACTTACAAGTTATCTGGCTGAGGGACATAAGTGGAACTAAGTTATGATAGCTCACTAGCGCCCTCCTTTTATGCCATTTACATATTTTCTGACAGAACCAACCGATAGCAGCGCTCCTCGCAGACAGACGTCAAAATTTTAATTGAGTTTGGAGTTTTAGGGCCTGTCCCACCACTGGCTGATAGAGGCTCAGATAGCTCAAAAGTGACGTCACTGAAGGGAACAAAAGCCGATATTTCCATCACATATTTTACACTAAGGATTGTTATCAGACAATTTAAAATTTATATAACTTTAAACTGTCGTGGTTTTTACAAATATAATTTAAAATTTTGGTGGTACAGGTCTTTTTGTGGCATTATCATATTTATGTATTATTTCAGTTTGGCAGTAAGTGGTATAAAGTGTATTTGCACTGGCGCGACCGCGGCTGCAAAACGACGGTCGTGCGATAACCGCGCGGCAAAATACTTATTGGAAACAGATCTTAAGGTTCAAAGTTGTAGGTTAAAACAATTTAAAAAAAATGTTGGGAATGTTTTCGATTAAGGACTAAAATAAAATTTTACTTCCAAGTCAAAATTAGCTGTAAATATAAAAGTCTCAAATCAAAACTTGTGTCAAATGTATTAAAAATGTGTGAAGTTTACTAGAAAAACATTTTGTTATTTTATTCAGTACAGATACATTTGTTTTATTTAGCAGATTATTGCTCTTTGCAAACAAAAATAAATCATTTTACTTTTCTATTCTCCCAATAATCTCAAGGTCTTCCGAAAAATTATCTAAATTTATCTAGTGATAGAAATTCAAATTAATTAAAACATAATTTTATCAGTGCAATTTAATCACTCTTCAAATACTAGAACGTTTAAACGAATTAAATATTCCTATCTAGCAACACATAATATATTAACTTTGACAGCTGTCAGATCAACGTCTTTAGGGATGTGAATCAACAAATGAAAAACCATATTAAAAATCGATTTAAAATTTAAATCGATTTCATGATCTGACATTTTAAGCATCTTCTTTCTTTTTTGATTATTTCATTTGTAAACATTAAAACTTTTCATACGAATACTTATATTTTAATTTGACTTTTCTCACTAGCATTTTAAGTTGGTGTTTTCGATCAAATATTGCTTATTAAAATTTTCGTGAGATATAACTTTTTCGGGGCTTTTACTGAACATTTCACGTGATTTGACCCATGTTTCATTAATATGACGTATTGGTTGTTAGTTGTGGTGGCACGTGGTGTGGTGTGACGTCACTTCCTGCGCGCGGCGAGCTGGTGGCGCAGCAGCTCGAGCTGGTGGTGGCGCTCCGCGAGCTGGTCGTTGAGTCCAGCGACGTGCTCCGTCAGCACCGACATCTGCTGCTCGTAGTTGTGCGACGTCGAGTGTAATTCCTCCTCCTAAATACAGCGCAAATGTACTATTATTATAAAGAGAAAAATTCGTGTTTTTTTATTTTTGTATGTATTTAATTTCCGTAAAAACTACTGGACCGATATCAAAAATTCTTTCACCATTAGAAAGGGTAAGGGCAAGGTAGTTTATCTGCGAGTAACATGGGAAATATTTTTTATTACTTTTTTAATTTCACGCGGGTGAAGTCGCAAGCAATGATATAAAAACTTTATTTTATTGTCATTATCCAGTAAAACTTTCAATTCACATTGTCATGTGTTCTTTCAGACTATGTTTACTAGGGATGTTGCGAATATTCGCATCCGAGTCCGCAAATGCGGAACTTCCGCATAGATTTGGACATCTGCATCTGCATCCGCATCCGCATTAATCAGTGCGGATGTTCATGCGGATGCGAATATCATGCAAGTAGCCGGGCAGTGTTCCTAGCGAACAATTATTTAGTAGCCCGGGTTTAATTTATGAACCTCTGCGTAATCGCCTTGAACCAGAAAAGGCACCAATACTCCTGTTCATTAAGTATAATGCTCCTATTTTTAATTTTAATTATTAATTTAGCAATAGGTGTTTAATATACAGGGTTATTGGTAATGAGACGTATTCCCGTTAGCAGGAAATAGATGGGATCATTTGTGATAATTTTGACCCCTATATGCAATATCCAAAAGTTAACCGTTTTCGAGTAATCTTCATTTTTCAATTTTTTTGCTTTGGAGATACGTAGTAACAACCATCCATCTAAACTTTTTCATTTATTTAGTTTAGCATTAGTGCGATTTAAAGTATGCTTAGAAGGTACTACTAACCAGTCTGCTAATAGTGTTGTGTTTCTCCTCAACCGTAAGCGCGTCTCTCTCCCTCTCCCGTTCCATCTCTTCGAACCGCAGCCGCAACATCTCGCACTGAAATTGGTACGGGAATATTCACATCCCTAATTACGTTAGTCATCTGTCATGTTACTGACAGCTGTCACGTTAAGCTGTCAAAAGTGTGTGCACGAATGTATTTTGGTTAGTTATTAGTTACCGCCACTACGTCTCCTACTGTTAGGGCTGATGGAAAAAGGGGTTTACCTCGTTAATGTAATGTTCAGTCTTGGTGGCGAGCAGGTCGCGGTCGGCGCGTGCGGCGCTGAGCTTGGCGCGGTAGTACTGCTGCAGGCGCTCCTCGCGCACCTGCACCTCCTGCTTCAGGGTGAACGGCACCTGCAAACATACTAATTAATGGCCGAACACTGAAACGAATATTAAACATCGCTTCGTTAACGCATCAAACTGACAGATGTCAAAATTTCAGTCAGTATGTCAGTATTCAGCCTGACCGGTGGCTGTCTGGGAGAACGTTAAATAAACTTTTGTCAGGTTATTTTTATTAATTTGATCCAAATCTGTCGAACCATTCTGAAGGTAGTGACATATATCCATCTCATCTTTCGCATTTATAACATAAATAAGATTATGTGTGTTGCCATAAAACTGCTGCATGCAATTTAATAAACATTTCTATTGTGTATAAATAAAAAAAAATTACCTCTAAACTACCAAGAAGTCCCGTCATCCTGCCCTCACCATCCACCGAGGTCTCATTAAATGTATTAAAGTCTCCGGAATCATGACTCTCTCCTTTCCTCTTCTGAGCTGCGGAAACATGCTTAGCTATTTCTAATTTAAGGCTTTCGTTCTCCATCTGCAGTATCTCATACTCCATACGAAGCTTCTGATTCTCCTGAAATATACATTTAAATCACCTTTATGTTGACAAAGTGTGAATCATTTATGTGAAGTGTTTCTTACCTGATCTAATGTGAATGCTTTTGTACTGAGCTGTTCGTTGATGTTCAACTCATCTACAGAACTAAGAGCATCCTCGCTGCCTATCTGGAAATGTTATTTATCTTCAATATTAAAGATCATCAAAGAACTAGTTTTAAACAATTAAATAACAAATTTAATTGTAACTAGCGATATTAATTCAAACATCCTGTTCGAAATCCCGCCAAGATCGCACACAATAATTGATACGTCTAATGACATTTGACAGCTGTCAGATAGGGATGTGACGTTTATGTCGATAATCTAGTGTTGCGCGATCCTACAGCACAGTACTAATTTTTCTTAAGACTAGTGCAATTTAAAGCACAGTGCAGTAAACCAGTAACAGTCGAAAGGGCTGTTTACAACTAAAATAGGTAACTCTCACTAGCGTCAGTGAGTACAATAACATGCATGACATTCTACTTTTGTAGTTTATTGGTCAACAAAAAAAATTGTTACACAAAAATAATGATTTTCCCACCGAAACCCTTAATACTGAGAATCTTATTACTGAGAATATTTAGACAATACTTGAACAAAATGTAATTTCCCCCACATGGGCATTTTAGTACATATTTAAAAATCAGGCTCTGGAAGTCAAACTTGGTAAATAACAATTATGTTTCACTCAGAATTCCTAGTCATACTAATATTATAAATGCGAAAGTTTACATGGATGGATGGATGTTTGTTAGAATTTGTAGCCTAAACGGCTGAATGGATTTTGATGAAATTTGGTGTAGAAGTAGAGGATAGTCCTGAAGAACATGTATGCTACTCACTTTTGTTTATTTTAATTCCACACGAACAAAGCCGCGGACGAAAGCTAGTCAAATATAAATTACAACTGTACTTCTTATTAGTTGGAATACTCAATAAGTCGAAGCTTTTTCCCCAATTCCCCACCCTTTCGAGATAATGAGATTCTACAGTACTTAAAATGCAAAACAAAAATGTTACCAGACTACCAGCCTCGGACAAGAAGTCTCCATTACAGCTCGCTTGACTGCCCGTCGCTACACCCTTGTGTCCTCTATCCTTCTGCAACTCTTCTAATGTAAATTGTATCTCTTGGATTTTATTCTTCAGTTTAGCTATCTCACATTTATATCTACTCTCACTTTCATTATAATGTTTCTGGTAATCCTCTAAGGAAGCTCTAAGTTGGGCCACTTCGAAGGTTTTATCTGAAAGCTATACGCAAAAGCTTTATATAGAAAAAATCATTTTACATATATGTTGCAGATAATGCAAAACAATTTCTTTTTTCTCTGTTCACAAAACCTTGTTTGTCCCAGGTCATCACTGAAATGACTGGATAGATTATCTGACATGCAGGAATATTAGATGCCCCTTTTTTTTTTTAGAATTACATGAATATTTGTGTGAAGTGTGCTTGTAAAACATAAAGACAGTTTACTGTTTTTTAAATACTTAATTTGGTCAATTAAGGAATAATTATAAAGCCAATTAAAAATAATTGTGTATGCCAGAACTTTGGTTACTGTGAAACTTTATGGCAACTATTGCAATTGGAGGTTAATGTGAACATGTGTGTGCCTTAAAACTATGCTTTTATGATCTGGCAATGGCTAAAATTATGTTCTGCACTTGTGATATTAAGACACCATAAAGTTTCTACAACAATGTAGCTGTAACTAACAACTTATTAAGTATTTGTGGTCATACCTGTGATGCAAGCTGTGCATTCTCAATTATCTTCTTCTGCAGCTCCTCCTGCAGCAGGCCGGGGTCGAGTAGTGCAGGCACAGAGCTAGTCGTTTGTTTTTCATCAGTTTTACTTTTTGTTTTCTTACTTAACTTATTCTGTAAAAGATACATGACAATTTTATGAGATGGAGGAAAAATTTATGGCTCATTCTTAGTAAGTAATATGTTAAGAAGCAAATAGATATGATATAACAACTACAATTTAATTAGAAAGTTTAAAACAATAATACTACATTGTTAGATAAAATTATGACTCATATAAAATGGCACTGATAAGTATGATTACAATCAATGTTTTGTTCGAAGCGCACTGACCTGCAAAGCATCGAGCTCATCCTGAAGGACGGACACGCGCCGCGTCAACTGCTGATTTCTAAAAGTTAATGAATCTATCTCCAATTCATCTTGTCTGATAACTTTCTCCTTAGATTTTAGTGTTTCCCTTAGTTCATTTGACTTTGCTTGCTCATCTAGAACGCCCTTTTTTAAAACTTTCACGTGAACTCTTAGCTGAAAGCGGAAACAATAAATTTACACAATTACTTGCTTCAAAAAGCCGCTCGACGTTTGATCTATATTCTCTACCTTTGAATATTCGGATGCCAGCTTTTGGTACTTTGCCTGTATATCTCCTGCAGGTAAGCCTTCCATTTTTAGAGTTTCAAGAGATCATTACGGTTCTTTGTAATGTAGAATATTGTTTATTTGTTCGATTATCTACAGTCCTGAACACCCACTTTGTTGAAAATGTCATAATGAAAATGACAACTTGTCAATAACATGACGTTCTGACGAACGTTCCTTTCATATAGCTTCTTTTGCAAGATTATATAATTAAATTACATTTTTGTACTATTTATGAAAAGGTTAAAAAGTTACTATAAAACTTTTAAGGTTTTTCTCGGAGACAAATGAAGTTATGTGCATTTCGTAGCTAGATTATGAACTATAAGTACTTCCTTTTAAATTTGTCTTTTTTGTATGAGAGAGAAGAATTTCCTTAAATGTGTTTACTTGCTGGTAACCCTAAATGCTCTTAAGCGCCCCCGACCCCTTGTCGTTTGTATTGAGTATCGTAAAACATCATCTATGCTCGTGAAAACTTAATTGCCGCGCAAATGCTTTTTTATCAAATATATTTCAATACTTTCCAACGTGACTTAAATATATTAATAGCTTACTTAATGTAACAAGTATTACGCACTGAAAGTCTATCTAACATTAACCTAAGCACACACATCAACACTTTAAAGACAAGAATAATGTAGAACATTTTCAGATCCTTATGAACCTTATCATTCTTAGATCATATGGGGAATGAGTTATGTTATAATTTGCAAGATAATAATCATAAAGGGGTAGTCCCGATTTAATTAAAACAACGTAATGTTTTTGTAAAGTCCCGTTATTGTTGGTCTATGTCAAAAGTGCCGCTATATAATTTTTTTATGGTAACATCATCTCTGTTGATGTGTCGTGATTGTCCAATATAAAATATCAATATTTTGGAATTTATGAGAGAAAAACAATAATTTTTAACAGTTTTTTCATATTTACAAAGGATAATAACTATTCCGTCTTTCAATGAAGTTTCCATGGACGATAGGTGAGCGTCTGATAAATAGTTCAAAGTTACATCGCAACAGGTAACAACCAAGAGAGAACAAAGTGATTTTCCTTTAAACTATGTGTCTTATTCGCAGAATTATGGAATCAAGCAGCTCTAGTTGTTACAACCATTCGTCGGTCAGCAGCGAACATCCTAAGAGTATCATACACATTGATATAGACTGTTTTTATGCTCAAGTGGAGATGGTGCGAAAACCCGAACTGCGCTCACAACCTCTTGGTATTCAACAAAAAAACATCGTCGTAACCAGTAATTATGAAGCCCGGAAATATGGTATAAAGAAGTGTATGCTTGTTACTGATGCTCTGAAGGTTTGTCCCAGTTTGAAATTACTAAATGGTGAAGACTTGCACAATTATAGGGCTGCCTCTAATAAAATATTTGCTGCGCTTCAACATTGGAAGTGTCCTGTTGAAAAACTTGGTATGGATGAGAATTTTATAGATGTCACAAATTTAGTTGAGGAACGACTTAAGAATGGGGGGGATGGATTTGTACTTATTGGTCATGTGTACAGTGAGCCTATGAGTGAATGTATCTGTGGATGTCACACACGTCTCAAAGTTGCTTCTCAAATTGCCAGTGAAATGAGGAAGAAATTATTTGATGAGTTAGGTTTTACAACCTGTGCAGGTGTTGCACACAATAAGTTGTTAGCAAAGTTAATCTGTCCATTCCACAAGCCGAATGACCAAACAACAATATATCCAGAACATGGGTCCAGTTTTATGTCAACATTGCAAAGTGTCCGAGCCATTCCAAGTATTGGGTCTAAAACAACCGAAGCATTAATATCACAAAAAATAGTAACAGTGAGTGACTTGCAGCAAGTTTCTGTTGATGTGTTGAAAAAACATTTTAGTAGTGACATGGCAGTAAGACTTAAAAACCTCAGTTTAGGGGAGGACAATACTCCAGTGAAGCAAACAGGTAAACCTCAGAGCATAGGCCTAGAAGATAGTTTCAAAACTGTCAGCGTGAAGAGTGAGGTGGAAGAAAGATTTATTACATTACTACAACGGTTGCTGGTGTTGGTGAGAGAAGATGGCCGCATTCCGGTTTCATTAAGAGTGACTTTAAGAAAGAAGGATGTCAAGAGACTATGCAGTCATAGAGAGTCTAGGCAGTGTCAGGTTTCTCCCTCCATCTTCACCATAAACAATGGTACACCCACTGTAACAGAAGTGGGGCAACAAAAGTTAATGACTTTAATTATGAGATTATTTAACAAACTCATTGATTTAAGCAAACCATTCCATTTGACATTAGTAGGACTGGCTTTTACAAAGTTCCAAGAGCGAATGACAGGCAGAGGTTCTATTGTTAATTACTTAATGAATGATATATCAGTACAATCTGTGCTTAACATCACAAATGATTGTGATACATCTGCTTCATCAATGGACTACTCGGCAGCATCACCCAGTAGCAGTACAACTACAGATCTATCAGATGCTGAAGTTGAACCATCTCCGAAAAAACCTAAGAAAGTGAATTGGATAGCTAAAAGGAGATGTTTGTCTAAAGAGGAAGTTGCATCACCAAGTAAATTAAAAGTAAGTGAACTCAGGTTGAATTCAAGGGAGCTGGAGAAGGTCTCTGAGCTGAGACTTAACTCCCGAGACAGATCTCTCACTCCAAGGGCAAGCCCTGCTAAAGAAATTTCAGACACAGACACAATGAAAGATGTTTCCGATGCTGGTAATTGTGATGATTGTCCAAGTTATGTTGATAAAGAAGTGTTCAATGCCTTACCTGATGAGATGCAGCAAGAACTTAAGGCAATGTGGAAGAATCCATCCAATTCAGAGTTGCCTAGAAGTAGTCCTAGAACCATGAACAAAGCAAAACCGAACACTATCTTGAAATATTTTGTTCACAAATAGCATTAGTTATATATTTTGTTTACTTTAAGTGATAAGTGAATGAATGGTTTCTATTTTTTCAAATCATACAATTTTTATTCGGCAGATCAATACAATGTTTATGTTATAAAATGTCCTGATTTTCAATAAATATCCTCACTACCTTTAAAATAATACAAACAATAAAGATTAATCAACAGGGTCAAAAATTATGATTACCTCTATCCACACATGGTAACATAGTTGCCAGGAGAGTAAATAAATAATGAGTATAACTGGGATATCATTTAATTTCTATATTTTTTACAGCTTCAGTGATTGTAGACGAGAGTTCGTTGAACTTTTGTACCTTATGTACTTCAACAGATAGGGATTGTGCCAGCCTTGTGTACGCTAACACATCTACATTAAGTTGCAGACGTATTTTATCACCATCAGTAATACCGGTGCTCTCAATATTCTGCTGTGAAGACATGTCACGGATCTGTTTCAGTCTTCGCAGTGACTCTTCGGTCTTCTGCACTGAGGTTAAAACATCTTCCACATATTTATAGTACCTGAAATCATAAAGTTAAAAGATAACCACACTGTAAAACTAGAGTTATATAAATAAGTAAACTTTCAATAGATCAAAATATATAGTGATATTTTAAAGAGGAAAGATTTGTATCTTCGTATTGAAATAATTCAAAAACTACTTTAACAATTTAAAAAATCCTTGCACCATTAAAAAGCTATGTTATCACTGAGTAACATAGATCATGTTTTTACCATTTTCTTATATGCCACGCGGGTAAAGTCGCGAGAATAGCTAGTTAATAATATAAAGACCTGTTACAGTGGTACAGAACTGCAACTGGCATCTTTCATATGCTAATGATTGAGTTAAAATTACTATAAAAACAATGACAAATACTTACGAAACTGTCATAATATTAAATAAAGCTTCATAAAGTCCTATTAAAAACAAATTATCTATTTTTTTAACTGCACCCTCATTAAATTCTGTAAGAGAATTTGTAACCACATCAATATAAGCGCAGGGCTTTGTAGGTATACTGCGGTTAGTTTTCCTATAGAGCCTTGGTATGTCACTAACTTGTTTCAATTGAATATTGTAATAATCGAACAATTCATTCACAATGCAATCTCTTATTTTAATTTCAGTCAGTTGTAAGATTTCTATAGAAGAATTTAAGCTTTCTCTAAGTAGAGGTTTACTTTTCTCAATTGGTATTTTGGTTTCAACATGTGCTAGAAATTCTGGTAATTTCTTTAACAATGTTTGAGTATCTATGTATATGTTTAAACTGTTATCTATCAATGTGTTGTTTATGCCGGTTGTTTCCAACTTTCGTATGGAATCCTGCTGAAACAATAACATTATTTTCTGTTAATTCAGACTTGAAGTTATTTAGGGTAAGTAGAAAGAATTATTCATGATGCAATCCATGCTGACATTATAGTGTGAATTACTCTAATATCAATATCTTTACCATCCCCTAGTAATGGTAAAAACAATGACGAAGAAATCTCGCCCAAGGTACTCGTACCATCAAGGCACCTAAGGAAAACTAAGTTCATTTATATTTAAAAGTAAAAAAAATATAGTCACCAACCTGTGAACAAACATTAGTTGTCCATGACGCATATCTGGCCAACAATTGCAACGAAAGCTTCCAGAATTTATGTGCCAATGCTTCTATATAAATACCATCTGACCAAGAATTATGCAGACTGACCCAACATTTTAAAGTTTCTTTATGAATAAACCCATCTTTGTTCTCAACTGTTGGACTCTTTCTTAAAGATGACTCAAAACCACCTACAAAGATATATAAGCTTACTCACGGTCAAGACAACCAAAATCAAAATGAAAATAAAAGTTTTACCTGCAATTTCCTGGAATCTTATTTGAAAATACACTGGCAAATTCCATCTCTTTTGAAAACTCTTGTATTCTATTGTATCATGCAACATTTGCACAGTTCCTTCAGCAACACAATACTCTTCCAACCTTCTAACAAACTGTATACTTTCACTGTATCTCTTATAAAATAACTGTGGATTCCCCGGTGCAAAGATAGATGCTAAATTCACTTCTATTCTACTTTCCACTTCGCACCAAAAACAATTAACTAAAAATCTATATTTCTTAGAGAGAAATGTTAATGTGGAATGTTGCATTACCGTTAGAAACAATTTTAATTTTGTATCCAATAATGCTAATATTTTAGTATAAATGCCTTGCAAACCATCTTTGCTTCTCTGTAATGCTGGTTCATTAATAATGTCCTGTAATAATGGAGCAATAGCTTGCTTTCGTATTAATAACTCAGTTTCTTTTATACGATCTAATGTTGTCAAAATTATTAATGTTTTTAAAAGATTGTTTTCATCATTTTCATTCCAAAAATGAAACAGCAATGTATTTAGAATTTGAATTAATTTTCCACCAATATCATTATATAGTTCCTTCTGCTCGGAACTCAGTAAGTTTTCACATTTACTGAATGTGAATTTTAATTGATTGTATAATAAGGCAGTGCGTTCCGCTACAATTATTTGCTCCAATTTATTCTTATCAGAAATATCTCTCAATACAGTCTCCAATGTTCTTAAACTGTTTACAGTCTGGCTGTAGTGTTTGAGAAGTTGTTTCTTCTTCAGTAGACTGTGTCTCTGGTTTAACCAAATTGACAACTCTTTCATTGCATCTTCCAAACATTGTTTTACACTCTAAAAGCAAAGATTGTTAAACATTTATTAATTTGTATTGAGAAAATATATTGCATATGCCACCAACGATTTTATTTTACTGGATAATAAAACTTATATTGCAACTTACAACAACTTCTTCATTTAGCTGCTCTAATGGCACTTGAATTTTTACTATTGCTTTATCAAAACCGATCAACGTAGCACATAGATTAACGAAATTAGCGTAATCTTTATTAATTAACTCTATCATAGCGAGCCTTAAAACTTTGAGATACACGCCTAGGTCGTCGCGCATTTTCTCCAAGGAGGCCACATTTTGATGATCCGTAAGAAACGTATCAACTGAAAAATTAGTCTGCAACAATTTTAATCACATATTATACAAGATATACAAATAGTTAAGTTGTAATGGTACTTTTTAATCACAAATGAGTAATACCTTGATAAAATCATTCCGATCGAAACATAAGCCTCGTGCCGGCGGCAAGGTGAAGTCGGTGTTATTCTTGTCCATTTTAATGAAGTAACGACATTGCTTTAAAAGGCACCTTTTTATAAATTCGCTAAAATTATTTATCAGAAATTACTCTTGTAATCCACTATCATCTTGACATTTCACTTACTGACGTAAGCTGATTTTGACAACTTGACACATCATATTGATGACACAGAATATCGAATCGATTTCACTCGATATAAAAAAGTAAGTTACATACCTATGATACACCCATATTTTCAAACTCAAGTCAAAATAAAAACCGACCATTCAAAATGTTGTGTTTAAAACAGAAGGGAAGTTGCGCTTAATCGTAAATCAGTAGGAATTAAATAAAACAACAAATTTAATTAAGCCAAGCTTCATTATTTATCTAGTTTACTTCTATAGGTTTCTGTTGCGTTCCATGAAGATCCCGGATACTTCTTTATTTAGTGAAAACACATATTCAATTTATTCTTTAATTGTGCGTCTGATTTAAAACAGCGAAAAACGAGTAAGATGATCGTAGAATCTAAAAAGATACAAATTAATTTATTTACATAGACAAGAAAGACAGTTAACTATTGTTGTGAGAACTTGCATCTTATTTCTTGATTTCATTCATTAGCCAATAAATACCAACCGATACAAATGTGGGCCTAGATAGCGGTATATAATGACCAGCCTTAAATACAATAGGTTTCTTCATACATTCCATTGTTATCAACAAGGACTTTTTAAATTTTTTGTCCTGTTCGTACCAGGGACTTTGATATAAGGAGTCTCTTAATTCTTGACTCTGAAAGTAATGTAAGTGACAGTGGCTTTATTCACTTGAGATTGCCAGGAAATTATAGTTGACTTTATGTTTTTTATTTGTACAATGTAATGAAGCCCTAATGGCTTTGGCCGTGTTGTCTTTTTAACTGAACGAAAAGATATAATATCAGTGATATTACCCTTGTAGTTAGCTCGCTGCCACACCAACAGTACAGGAGCAGCTGCGACAGCATGGTCACCATATAAATCAACATCGAGTAGAACTGAATACTGCTAGGCTCCGACTATTCAAATAATGAACAATAAAACTAATCAACTTTCAGTTTCAAGACAAAACTATCTACAAAACCGTTATTACAGAAGTTTTTACATACCATAGTAATACGTAATCCAATTATGCAGATGATAGCTACCGTACCACTTAATTGGAAAAATATATTAGCGTGATATGTATTTTCCACAATTTCAATAAATCTGCAATCAAGATCGTAAAACAATTTTATAAAGTTCAAAGATTATAGGTCACAGAATAGTGTAATATTCTTTTGGTTGCTATGATGATCTTGAAAAGCGGGCTTTGTTTCTTTTTGTTTAAAAATTCATGTTATTTACCTAATAACTGTTTGGTGTTGGTCAATGCACTCGACAAATAATTTGTTATTGTTCGAAATTCTCATGGTCCGTTGCTCTTCCGTTAACTTTGAAGATAATGGAACTGATTGCATCTGAATTAATTTAACACATTATTTGTGGTATTAAGGGAAATTTCCCTAACCGTAATAGTATAGTTTAAAATATATATAACGAGCAAGCGACCACCTGAGTCCGCCAAAATGGCGAATCGACCGCTGCCCATAGACATCCGCAATTGCAGATGCGTTGCCTACCCTTAT